TTTAAGCAGTGTACCAAATAGTTTTAAACATTCTTGTTCGTCTTGTTTGCCTTATGATAAATATGGATAAAACCTCAAAAAAGTGAAAAAAAACAAAATTTAATCACTTGTAACTTTGCGTGGGCACGGCGGAAGTTTTCCATTCTTACACGTAGGAAGTAGAGTGCCTCCTAAAGTGAATGTGGAAAATTTCAGCCTTTTAACTTTTTAATTTCTGAGTAACTAGTAAAAATCCAAAAATTTTTGTTAAAAAAACGGAGTTGTTTTCAGCTTACGCTCCGTTGTGCGCTTCCACTCTGACCAATTTGGCCCATTTTCAATACCAAACTGTGTCCAAAAACTTCCAATGTCGCTAGCAAATTTAAAGTCGATATATTCATTTTTGCGACCAGGAGAGTGCCAATAATATACACTACGTAGACACACAGACGGACAGACACGGCCAATTCAACTCAGAATTTCACCCCGATCAAGAATATATAAACTTTACAAGGTCCCTGAAGCTTCCCTTTGATGTTACACACGTTATGGAAAAAAACAAAATGAGTACACCCCCATTCTACATCGGTGGATATAATAAGATTCCTACACTACGTCTATTATGAATATCTCTCAATTAATTTGTACTTAGCTCCTTACTTGTACTTGTTTCCTTAAAATATAACATTTCTTTTATGGAAATATTGACAAGGGCAAAAGAAGTTGCGTAGAGCAGTCAGACTTTACCACAAAGATGCAAATAAAATTCGACTTTGAGTGGATATGTCTTATTCTTTTCGCTTTCTACCCTCCAAGGTCCTTTATTTGAAACTCATATCGCTGGTATTACCACGAAATAATTAATCCACAAGGTCGTCGCTTCTATCATATTCCTTATAATATAAAAAAATTTTAAGCATTCTGCCTTGTTTGCCCTACGCTAAATAAGCAGAACACGTCAAAAAAATGAAAAAAACATAATTTAATCACTTGTAACTTTGTGTGGGCAGGTCAAAGTAAAGTAAATGTGGAAAATATTAACCCTCTAACTTTAATAATTTCTGAATAACAAGCAAAAACCAACAAATTTTTGTTAAGAAAAATGGAGTTGCGTCCAGTTTATGCTTCACTGCGCGCTTCTCCTCTAACAAATTTGGCCCATTTTCAACACCAACCTGCCTGCAAAGAGTTCCAATCTTTCTACGAAATTTGAAGTTAATATCTTCATTCACGCGACCAGGAAAGTGGCAACCACGAACGCCACAAAGACACTCAGACGGACAGATCTATTAATTCAGAATTTCACGCTGATCAAGAATATTTATACTTTACTTTACCTTATAGGGTCTCTGAAGCTTACTTTTGATTGTTGCATCCATAATGGAAAAGAACAGATGAACATATCCCTTTCTTTGGTGGGTATAAAAACGAACGGGTTTAGCTAGACGTTTATGTTTGAAAGACGAAACAATAAAGACTATTGAAAACCGATACATATGTATGCATGATCAGAACCCAATCACTACATCATACATATGCAAGCATAAAAACGAGAAAGGCGCAACTTACAAGTAACTTAAACTAACTTAAAACGGTGTAAGGTATTAATGTATTACGTTGCATTTGCATAAGACAAATTTGCCACGTACAGTACCTTTGCTTTTTCTTTGTTAAAATATAGAATGTGGCAAAAAACCCTACTTATTTCATTAAAGGCAACTTTGGAAAAATGAATAACAGACGGAGAAGACCCATGGGAAATTCCATTGACCAGAGGAAAACATTTTGAACGTTGTGCAATAAAAAACTCGATATAGTTGGAAAATTAAGATCCAATATATCTTGATTTAAGAAGGTTTAATAGTAGAACTAGCGATGTTTTTCTTAAACCTCTTGACACCAAGAACGATCATTTTGATCCCTCGTAAAATTCTCATAGTCGCAAAAATGGATCGATTAAATATCCGCGCGATCTCTCTATATGCGCGCCCACAATAAATTAGAAATTGAGACAGCCTAGAAAAAACACCAACAATATTTTCCTCTATAACTTTTGTTTTATTTAGTTCCAAATGGCATACTTACATGTCCATTATTGACCATACCATTTTTATCTCAGGTTATTTCCCATTTGCTGTAACATACAAGAGCATGTCATTGACGCAATTGCAAACAAATTAGAAGTAAATTTTCATTAAGGTTTTATCGTCAATTATGGATGTGCTAGTAAGCCGATCGGTTTTCAGAATTTCCGAAATATCTTCAAAGGATCAAAAGTTACAGACAAAAAGTCGACAGTTTCCTTTGTATTGCGAGAGTGCATGTAAGCAGCCCGTGCCATTTCTTCATCTCATATTTTTAATCAACTAAGGAATGCTGGGCCCTTTTTCTATTTTTGTAACAATGACAATTTCACAAAGAAAGAGAATCAAAACGACCTCTTTGCCTTGGAAATTAGTATGTCATCGGTATCCCGAAAACTAGACCAAATTGATAAAAATCGATTATATACATTTGAAGGTTTCTTCATATAAATAAAAGACGCCAAAAGGTTTTGGAACATTACATGCTGAGCAAATCGAAGATTGGAAAGGGCCAAAACGGTCTACTCTATAGTTCTAATGTTAAAATAAGAACACAGTGTCTTTTGCAGTATGGTTGCTTTCAGAGACTGCTTTCGTTGCGAAAAAGTCCATGAAGTGGAAATTTTTGGATTCAGGAAATCAAGATAATGTCGAAGCCAGACAGAACAGTAGGTAGATTGGGACCCTTGGGAGAAAATGCAGTCCGAAGAGTATTCAGGCCAGGCTTCTCCTAAATGGATAAACATCTCGTGTACTACAATTAGTGTACCGTTTAGAATGCAGATCACAATAATATCATTGCACAATGCAGTTCTTGCTAGTTTATTTAGAAGGATTCCTATGGATTGTTTTAGTGTATTGTTCGAAAGTGAGAGTTTTCGATTTCTCTAATTCTATCCTAAATTAAGCGTTAGATTCTTTGCATAATAAGATATTTGTATTATCAGGATATCTTTTGAGAACATTCTTAGATTTATGTCGCTTATAAAGAAATATGAAGCAGTGTGGATAGCATTATAATATAAAATCTCCTCAGACTTTTTGTAGTAGTTAATCTAGTGAGCCTTGTCCAGTAGGTCTTTAACTAATGTTGGTGGAATACTAAAAGCGTTTCGAAGTTTTACATTGATAACGAGGGGGAGTGGTCACTATTAAGGTCATCCGAGATGCACCACGAAATAGAAGGAAAAACTGATGGAGAGTAACATGTTAAGTCGGCATGTGGAAAAGTTTGATAAGCTGATAAATATGTTGACTTTGCCTGACTTAAAACGCGGATATCGGTTTGAATTAGTGAGTTTTCTAATACGGTACCAGGAAAATTATATCTTTGAGAGTCCCACTTTGTATTCAAAATTATTGTAGTTTTCAGTAACAATCAGTGATGGAAGATGTGTGGGAAACAAATTACAAAAGTCTTGTTGAAAAAATGATTGCAAAGGGGGAATATGAAGTGAAATTATTTTACATTTTTTACTCGAAAGCTTTGGCCAGTATATTTGAACTGCAGTTTAAACGTGTACGATAGATGTAGGATTTAATGAAAACACCAACTCCTTGTTGAGAAGGAATCTTGCTGCAAGAAAGTTTATAGAGAATTTCTAGATAAATAGAAACTTGAAATTTCCCATTAGCGTTTGCAGTTCATCAAAGTTGTAAACGAATCATTTCATGTTACATTGCTAAGACGCTAAGGTATGTTTTGATAACAATTCCTTTATCTTACCAATTGAGTAACCAAAACCGCTCGTCTTATATAATGAAGTAGAAGTGGGCAGCGGAGAATTATATTTCAAAATTGTGGATCAAGTCATTTGATGCTTTCATAGAAAGCATGTCTTTGCAAGAAAACGATGTGTTTTATTATCTAAATGAGTGAGTAATTGCACCAGAAGAAATGATGTAGGGCAACTAGCGGTCGGGCGTGGCAAACTACAATGTTCATGCTTGTGTGTCATTTTTTTACTGCACATATAGCGGGAAAAAATTTATTACCTTGGTAAACTTTATCGGATTAATATAAAAATGTACTTAACGAAGCACAACCTAAGTGGTGCCGAGTTAAGTAATAACTTGCGAACATAGTATCTGCAGAGGCCGAATTTAAAGATGTAATCATATAAGTTTAACACTTGAAACGACCTCGAAGCTTGTATGCTATAATCTTTTTATTCTTAGATTGAAAAAGAGTTAAGTCACTTAGGTACGCTATAACTGGTAGATCATTGTCCTTACGCTTTAAATATGAACACATCTTAAATTAAATTGAAGTGAGTTAAATTAATACGACATCTGGCAGAAATATTTTAAAGAGGTGCATAAAAATAAGCCATAATATGCGTTGAATTGAGACAGTTGTCGTTCATGAATAATCATCGTGATTGGACGAAGTTTCAGAGAATCTAAAATTTTTATTTCAGATAAAATTGAATGTACAAAAGATACCATCATCACAAATATTAGTTTTTAATTGTAGGTTAGGAAAAGGATGACACGACCGTATTAAGAACCACTCAAATTTTCACTGCCATATGTTTTCGTGAAATGGAAGACAAAAAATTGCACAGGAAGTACAAATAATCTCAATCTAGTTAGCCTTTAAAAAGCGTAGTAATTTTTCTATAAAACAAAAACTTAAATAATATTTCCAGAGAAACGCATTGGTCATTTCATACTCTCTTAACAACGCAATCTAACACGTTTTTCTTTTTTAAGTTTGTACTTATTTTTTATTTAGTTTTTTTTTTTCAAAACCTGCAAATTTGCTTTTCTTTCTTTTCACTTCTTTTGAATTCAATTGATCGCTTCCCCAGCTAGATGTGCATACAAATGCTCATTTTAACCTTTCAAGTTTACTCACTCTCTTTTGACTACTCTTTACAAAATATAAGAAAACAATTTTTTTTTTTATTTTTCTTTTCTTCTCGTTTTTCACAGAAATATGTTGTAAATACTGAAAAAAGCGGAGATCTGACGGTCATTGTACAGGTATGTCAATTTTTGCTCTTTCTTAAAACAACCACAGAAATTTGTTATTTAATCTGCTCCATCTAACGACTGAGTGCCGACCATTCTGGGTTCAACGTTCTCTCTTTCCCATTCTGTGTTCAACGTTCTCTCCCCCCCCCCCCCCACCTCTTCCCCCATGCCTGTATGCAGGTACGTCGTAGGTCTTTCCCACGGTGTATCGTGCGCACGTATACCCCTCCTTTCTTCGATCCTTTTATCCATAACCCTTTCTGACATCTCCTGGGTGACTATATATATATATATAAGCAGCATTTGCAATACCTGCTATATCAGTCCGTATTTTCTTCATCATTTAGCAGCGCTCTAATGGGAACCGCGCTAATCAGAAACCATGTTTATATAAGCACTTTTTTCTATTTATATTTATTTATTCTAGTAAGAGCCATTTTGAAATAGAGTCTTACACTTTAGACACTTAATCTAGGGAAAGCGTAAATTTTTAATTCCTTCAATAATTGCAAACGGAATTAGCGGACAAGCGCACATGGCTTTCGAAAATTGATAGGAATGATTTTGAGGTACGAATTGTTCTTCTGCACAAAAAAGTTTGATGTTTTAATCGTTACTTTGACGAACTTAACTAGGTAGGCGGGTATATAAGTCCCATCAATGCCGAAAGAAAATGTGTTTCCCGGTAGTTAATCAATATGTCGGCTGTGTGTTGCTTTTTCTGTTCTTCGAAATGATATACCTACAAAAAAGTGAAACTTCATACAATGAGACGAACCTAATCCACCTTTCTTCTTCGTCTTCTTCTTTTTCAACTTTTAAAACTACAAAGTAATGAAATTTTCAAATTTTCGTAAATAGTTCACCTCTGGTCACAAATCGTCCCGAAAATTCTGGCCTAAAAGTTTAGTGTTATTTTATTATTATTATTAAACTTAACGAGTAAGTATATAATATTCATCTAAGGATGAATATATGACAGTTATTTTTTTATCTACTATTTACGTTGTCACTTTTTACTCAACTAATCTCTGTGTGTTTTTTATATGTTTAGGGTGATTTGACACAACAGGACAAACGAGCAGTTTTTATAACTGTACACGATTTGGGTTGCAATCGTAAGTACAATAATAAACACAATCATTACGCCTAGACATACCTGCACGTAATATTGCCCGCAATTATAGACATAATCACGTTCCCATACATATCCAATCGTTTTTATGTAATTTATCTAACGTTTATAATCAGAATCGATAAATGGAAGCAGCATAGACATGTAAATTTAATGTTTCGATTACAACGCACCGAAACACACATCACAGACAGACTGCAAAATAAACACATTTCTGATAAATACAAGAGCCACTTATATATTATTGCAAGTGTTAAACATAATATTAGAAAAATTGCGATAGAAATCTGAAACTTGGTAAATCAATTCCTGATTGGAGGGTATGCAATAATCAAAGAGTTGTGTTTCGCAAGCTACAATTAACGCAAGTCTAAGCTGTAGTGCAACTATTTGTTAGAGTAATCTAAAAAAGTCAGTGGTCGGCCAACAGACGCATCCTTTCTTTTCAATTTTTCACTATTGGTGGTGACGAGCATTCTTTGAGGTGATGGCTAGCCAACTAAAGGCACTTATATTATGTCGTCTCTTTTTTGTTTATGAAGGGTTTTGTCTACGACTTTTTTAAGTTACTAATTATAATTATAATATAGAAGTATTATGTTTACGAAACCTATATGGTGACAGACAGTCCCTACATCTTCCCAGGAAACTATAACATCGAAAGAGTACATTCAGTATCCTCAGTATAATATTATTAATGAATGAAAAATGTATGTGTATGCACCAACACAAGGTTTATAGCATAAAATACATTTGCTCGTTCTAAAGGAATGAAATAGTGTTTTTCTCCCCCTAAAAGCAAGAAGTTGAACGGTGTTCTAAATTGAGGAGCAACCAACTGAACCAACTAAGAGGTTTGGCAATTAAGTGCACGTATTTGTCATCCCACGGTTACGTCGTCAGAACTTGGTAACGTATTTTGACTTTGAGGTGTCATCGCTTCGCAATAGTATGTGTATGTGCTTGGTTCAAGATACGACTGTCACTTACAAAGTACTGTTCACTCACTATTAATGTAGTGCTGTTTTGCCCGTCTTTGCAACTACGTTTGAATTTAAGATACAAAAACGAATAAAACGTTAACATTACCTTTCATCTTGGAAGCGAGTAAATGTGATGTGAAGATATCTATAAAAATGAAACTAAAATAGCCTTCGAGGAGGTGAAATGAACAAACTTAAAAAAAAAACAGTTAATATTGCTTTACAAGTGGAAAGCCAACATTAGATCTTTCCCAAACGGCAAATATTTAAAAAATTAACTTAAATATCAACGCTACGGAGATGAAAAATAATGTTTACTTTATTGGTGACAGCCACAAGAATCCTCTAAATTTGGAGTTGTGATTGCCCATAAAATACTTAATAATTGTACTCTTGTGCCTTTTACGACTTCTACTCGTGAAACACAACCTTAAGACATTAGTTTGTGTAGCCTTATCTCCAAACTAATTGTTTAGTTATAAAATTTTCTAAACGAACAGGAATTCCCCTCGTCAGTAATTCGATATCACTTTGATCAGATGCTCGTTCATTTTGTGTTGTCTTTAATGAGTAGGCCCATCAACTCAAAAACTGAAAGCAAACGGCCACCGTACGCAGCGCGGAAATCGATGACTTTCACTGTGATGAGACATTCTTTTCCTCCAAAGACTACGTTAAGAAGTAGATTGCTGTATTTGGGCAAGCTAATAGCACAAAACCTCACACAGAAGCTGATTAATGTATAGAATCCAGTTTAGAAACCCGCAGAAGTACCAAACTTCCCTTTATGAACCAATCTTGAATGCAACTAAAAGATCTCCAACCGTCAAGATGAAGACTTTACTTTTCACCGTTACGTTTATTACATCATCGTCCCTCATTAAACAGTTCCTACGATGGAAAAAGGAAAAACAAATGAAAAAACTTGCTGTCTCTAAACATTGCATCATAATCGTCTTTCAACTTGAGTGGAATGCGTTCATGATCGTGAATGTGCACGTTTCGCTGACCACTTTGGAAACTAATTCCGCGAGATTGATCGCATTTCATGAACACAATGACCGTCTGATCGCAAAAATGGTACCTCTTTACCAATGTCGTCAATTAAAACAGTGTGAACGAAACACTCTCACCGACCACTCTTAATTATGTTGCTTACAAGCAATGGGCGCTTGTCATAGCGCTTAGGATAGCTTCACTCTTCCATTAAATATACTCATATTCCGGTCTGTGTTAAGCGCTGCCCTACAAGAGACAGCGAGAGCGCTGAATATAATTTATATTTTTTGTAAAAATGTTTTTAAGTAAGATAACCCTGAAAATTTTTTCGGCTCCGTAAGTGTTTTTAAACCAACTTTGCCACGTATCGCATAATTTTGGACCGAGCTAATTGTGGACCTTTGATTCTTTAAGCGCAAGAAGACGAGGCAAACTCTCAACGAAATTATTGCTTTTATCACACTTTTATTTTTTAATTATTACTCAAATAATAGATTTCTCAAGAAGTAGAGAAGGTCGAAAAACTCACAAATTGAGAGTGGACAACAATTGTTTCTCTTTTGAATGAGCTATAAAGTAAACAGATAGGTTCCTATAGAAAAATCATTTTGTTAATTCATAAATTTTACTCTTTGCATAATTTTGAAAAGTACAGAACAATTTGTAAATATGATCCAGTTACTAATTCGAAATGCAATTCCTCGTACTTTTTTTGGGTATGTAGAGCTACCTGATTAACACAATAACAAAATTTTTTCTTACTTTTGAGATCGCTGGCATCTACGCAAAACCTTTCTTTGTCACCGAGCATAAGCTATTAAAAAATATAAGATCTTTCGAGGTTGGATGAGCTTTTGTGCTTAGCGGGAGGACTACCCGAATTTCTTAACTATTTCTTCTCAATTGGTCGAAAAATATATGTCAACTATTCTGCTTTATGGAAATTGCAATACAAGGTGTATCATACTTGTACGCAGTAGACATAGATACAGTTCGTCAGTATAATGTGTAGTAAAAGGAATATGAATAAGTAAGAAAATTATATTCGGTCGTGACCGAATCGTTTATACCTATCTACGTTATCCTAGAATAGACGAAAAAACTAGAAGAACTAAACTTTCATGCTCTATGGGCGCAGCTGATTTTTTCTGCTTTCAAAACAAAAGTTTTTGTCGCATAGGCGTATAAGCAACAAATCAATTTTTTATTCCTTTTGAAAAACAGAGGTGTTCTCAGTTTACGTGGTGCTATAGGCGTGTCCTTCGATCAATCTGGCCCATTTTCAATACTAACCTATATGCCAGAACTTCCAATCTTTCTGGCTAATTTCAGATCGCCATCGTCATTTTTGCGGCTAGGAGAACAAACATTATACAGGTGGACAGTTTTAAATGGATTTAGAACTTAATGCTGTTGAAGAGGATACTTTGTTGTGTTTCTGATGCTTTCTTTTGGACGTTGCAAACATTTTGACAAAATGAATATACCCCTCCTTCTTCAGTGGGTTTCGTATAATAAAATTTAACTAAAATTTGGAGAATATCTTATAAGCACTCGCCGAAACGTAGAAAGTTATTTTATGTCCGATCTCTTAGTCATATGAATGGGCAATGTTTTCCGCAAAATAGGCCGGCAAATATGTCTGTTTTCAAACAAAGTATTTACTTTCTAAGTCGGTTTTGAAATCAATAATTAAATGACTTCCGCAAACTAGCAACGAACAAAAAGACTTTAAAACTGAAAGATACGCAACAAAATTAATTTTTAGCAGTGCAAAGGATTTCGTGTGTTTTAAGAAAAAATTTTCTACATTGATGAAACGATTGCCTGGTACGAGTGATTTTCCAAAAGATATTTACTATTTAATTTTTAATTGCTCTAACAAAGCAGTTAATCTGTATATCACATAGGTATCAATATATACATATTTCAATTTGTTATTGCAATAGACTTATATCTTGATCGATTATCAAAGACACGAAAGAAATTGAAAATTATTTAATTCAACACAAAACAACAAAGTGCAGACCTTTTGCGATAAGGCTAAGATTTTGAAGAATTACAGAAAATAACTTGCGTACGTTTAAAGTTACAACTAAATTCCCAATCACATTCAAAAAGGAAAACGTTTGGGGAACCGAGTCGTAATTATCGTTAGATGAAAAACGAAAACATACCTTTTCGAAGGTTGGGTTTCAACAGCATGGATAAACTTTTGATGTCCTTCCTAAATATAATGCGGATCTCTGGCTTACCACTGAATCACATTCAAGAAGGAAAACGTTATAGGACCCGAGTCCTAATTATCCTTAGATGAAAAACGAAAACATACCTTTTCGAATGTTGGGTTTCAACGGCATGGACAAACTTTTGATGTCCTTCCGAAATATAATGCGGATCTCTGGCAATGGACCAACGGCTGAAGTGTTTTGGTACGTAATCAAAAACCAGATGACGCAGCAAGAAGCATAGGAAAAAGGATAGGTAATAAATGTTCTCGATTCCAGCCAACCAAGCGGTTGTTTAGACAACGACCAAAGACTAATTCTTTTCAAAAAGCTATTGCTCGGCGCTGCAAAGGTCTCTGCCAATGTTCCAATGGAAAATACGCAGTTTGCAACAAAAGTTTTATCGACAGTGTCTACGAGTGTCTTAAGCAAAGATAACATTCACGAGCTCAATGCAAAATTTTAAAAATTAGGACGAAAGGTTCGTCCGTTAAGACCATGCCAAGTGTAGCAATCATTTGGATTGGCAGTTTTAGCAAAATAGACAAAAACACGAAACATCAAATAGAGCAAGTTCTCGTAGTTGGTGCAGTGATCGCAAGAATTGGATGAAATGCCTGCAAAATGCAAATTTTGAAGAAAATGAAGGAGCAACGTCTAAAATGAGAACAAATAATTCAAAACACAGTCCCAACAATATCGTTGAAGCCTTGAAACAACATTCTTACACTCAATGCAATTCTAAGAGCATTGCATCGAGCCAAGTACTATTA